CGGAGATAGAGTCCCATCTCCGAAACGTCGTTTTACGTTTTATATTTACTAGACGATGGATAATATCCAAGAAAATTTTTATTCAATTGAATACAATACTGAAGTTAAACCTTAACACACAAAGATAATAAATATAAAGAAAACTTTCTCAGTATAACTGATAAAAATAAGTCTATCCAAGAATGTACATTATTATGAGAAGTATTTGTTGGGGCGAGTTAATTGTTTCAGAGCAGTAATTTTTATGACACACGACAGTCATAGAATTTTCTCAAAAATTGACTCGCCTAGACTTGAATATATCGTTTCCAAAAATGAATAACGCTAGGGGTCATTAAACGTTTGTCGTCGGGATACAGGCCAAATTGTAAATCACTAAAATATGGTTCACGTTAAATTACAGACATTCAGTTTAACTTATAAAAGTAATTCATAAGATCATTACAGTTCACTAATAATTACTTCAAATGTCCAAAACCATAATTTTTGGCAATTTTTCTAAGTTCAAGGCCCGTGAGATTTTTCATCGACGTCAAAAGAAGTCTTAGGCTTAAAAGGTTATGGGCAACGAATACTATAAGAACGTGTCAATGTTATATCAACACGATTAATACCTAGGAAGAAGATAGATTGAGTGTACATCTGACTGCTTGTAAGTTTTATATTTATATATATATATATATATATATATATTACCATCATTGCTATAAATTGAGAGGTCGTTTTATTAATATTATGGTCAACCAAGCCTTTATTCTTATAGATAAAACGTCATAAGATGTTCTTCGCTGACGACGAAGTGTTGTGTACATACAATAGCTGTTTAATAACACAATAAAATATGATTTTTGCAATATTTTTATACTTCACACTTTTTATTCAAGCGGTCAGTTTAAACGTGATGATAGAATTGGAACTATGAACAAGAAATTAATATTTAATATCAGAATAAATGTTATAAGTGCCTTAATCACGTGACAAAATCGTAGATAAATGTTTGCCACGGTAACATATTGTAGTGAATATTATTTTATAGCAACTAAGTAAAACATAAATCAGCATCAGCTTGTAACACCAGAGATGTTAAATGAATGCGGTCCGCCCACGTAATCTGTACGTCGGATAAAAATTCGATAAAAATAAAATAATTAGAAACATACACAGAATTTTAAGTGGAAGGAAGTTCAAACTGGTATCACATCCAGCACGTTAAACACACGCATATTTTATAAAAATGATAGAATTTTTCGATTGTCATGTTTTTGCTTTCAAAACTTTTTCTTTTTTAAAAAAATTCTTACTAGTTTTTTTCCAATAAGTTAACACACACATTTTTATTCCAAAATACGTGTGCACTGAGAGTGAGATATCGTAATATCCAGATGTGAACAACGGTGGGACAACTGGTACCATCCGGATAATTTAGGACAGTGTGAAACACATGAAACTTAACATTTAGTCCAACACTAATTTATTAAAATATTATTACGTATAGGCAATATATTCCTTGCTTACAAAATTGAACAGGCTGTAACAATTGATGTAAACATGGAAAAATAGATTCAGAAAGTTGACTAGAAATTCCACTGCATGACAAAGAGTATAATAAAGTCTAAAAATTGTAGAGAAAATCTTGACAGTATTTTCAGGTAAGTAGTTGAGACAGAGAGAAATGTTAACTTAACGAGAATAAACTGATATACATAGCCTAGGCCTATGTGTGATACTCCCTGACATTTAAATCTATTTTAACTGCTTTCGACACATTTCACACCAAGGATGACTTGTTCCCGTTTATACGGATCAGTTAACCCTTTAAAACCTAGTGGTAAAATGTACCACATTATTTAACAACCAACAAGTCTGTATTTAATATTATTTGTATTATTATCAATGTAAACAGGGAATATTTCCTCATACGACGTTATCAAATCTCTGTAACGTATAAATGATGGTGTTCTCTTTTCGGTACGGACTAGATTATTTAGGCGAGCGTAAGATTTAAAGGGTTAACAACGGGTGACGTCTCTTGGTGTGTTAGTTCCCAAACAGAAGAGTGGTTAAGCTAGAAATTAATAAAGACTATTTTCCAATAATTTATTGTATTGAGTTTTTCAACATGGAAAAGTACAAATATTGCAATACAACGAAAACCAACCATAACAAGAGTTTTCGCCTGCCTGCCTTCACACTAACGTCTTACAATGACAAGAGATCCTTGGGATGAAATTACTGTGGCATAGCGTAATGTTACGTCTTGGACTTTTTAAACTTAAGTAATCACAAAATTACTGCAGAAACAAACAAACAAACAAAAAGTATTTTAAACTGACTAGTCTCTTACACTTAACAATAAATACGATAAATTAAATGGGATAGAATTTGGCCATTCTAGTTAGCAATTATTCCAGCTTTTCTGATTAACTCTCAAACTCAAATTCCCTTACATCTTCCATTATCTAATATATCCTTCTCCTGGAACTCAAAAGATAACCAAAGTCCAACCCATTATCCTGTGTTATAATAAGTTATACAATAAATTACAGCAAAATACAAAGACAACTAAGGTGAAACCTTCTAGCTCTAATGCTGACAATTCATCTCCTCATCATTTGGCTAAGATACTCAAACTATAAATATGGCACCGGACACTCAGAACGTTTCCTGAACTACCCATATAAACCTACAACTAGATGAAAAATCATTTAAGTAGTGAATCATTTCATTGGATAAATATAACCCATCAATACGTACACCTAAATGCAATGTGACACTAGACAAAAGCAATAAAGATTTGCACTGCAAGATAGAAGCAGCAGTGACTTGAATTCCTCCGTGGACCGTAATCCAACAGCGACATAACGTTTAGCGTAGAGAAATTACCATACTTAACAGACCAAACTCACTTGATTCAAATGTCCTTGTGCTCAGAGCATTACCTGTCAGCCCATGGTACGTATTATAAATACACCAGAATGGCCGCTCACAAACGAAGTAACAAGATATACTTCACAAAATACTAAAAATGAGATTCATAAAATTTTAAGATTTGTTACTTCAGTGAGCACGGAATAAATTATAGGGAAAGTGGTTCATTACGTCACGGGCCCGAGAGCAAACTTTCGACTGGAAAAGAACGTTTACTCTCCGACCAATAATCTGCGCATCTAATATGCTCATCACTCTATCTAAAGCTACAATTTTTTTTTTTAAGAACTTCATAAAGTTATTGCATCAATTACATATTTTTTGAGGTACTGCATTACAGAAACCCCCTGTCTCTTCTATAAAAGTCCATGGAATGCTTACTCACAAATTGTTTCAGTCCTACACCGGAATATAATCTCCGGTGCCGGAAAATCAGGATACATCCATACAAATTGAGTCTGGCCCTCAAAAATCAAGTTTGACAACCTAGACCTACACCACACAAAGTCGAATACAAGTCCTAGATTTCTAGCAAGAACCTTCAAATGCAGTCCACATTTCATTTTTTTTTTTATTATTTTTACGTATATATATATATATGTATATGTATATATAGATAGATATATTTTTTTATTGTATTAGGCCAGTTAAAGAGTCAGTTTCCATACAAACGTCTTTCCCAACGACCCACATAGAAACCAACGTAAAGTTTGTGCTTTGAACCGCAGAGTCTGTCAGAGTCTGTCGTCACGTTATATTTATCCATTCTCCCATCGCGTGTCAAAATAGACTGCAATTGACTGGCCTTGCTTAGATAAAGGATAATAATAAGTAATATTAAGAAAGAGTATTTAAATACACAATCAAGCAAACCACTATTTATGAAGAATGAGGAAAAATACCAAAGTTAACAAACTCATCGTATGTTGTTGTTGTTTTTTTTTTCCCCCACATTTAGTCAATACCACTTTGGCAAAATTGCATCCGTTAAGTAGGTGAATGAGTTCTATAAAGCTTCAAAAGTTATTTATATCTTTAATTGTATAGAACAGGCATGAATCACAATCTTGATAAATGCAGAAGCAGTTTTCAAAACCAGTCTCCACAACCCAAAATATACTCGGGAACCACATCAGGTTCATAAATCACATCGCGGTTCCAGTACTATCTTATTTCATCTTCATGGAAATATCTCTCTCTGTACATTTTTTTTTCCCATGGAACTTAACAGATGTATGCACCATTGTTTTGAGTATCATACAAAATATTACCACTTTTAAAATCTAAGGTTCGCGCGTTAAAGTCTCTACGGGAGCGAGATGCTAATGGCTGTAAAAACCAAGTCTAATATTACGATTTAGAAATACGTCTCTTGGTTTCTTCAGAAATTTAACATAGCTGCAACTATAATATATCTCACACAAGCAAATATATTGGCATTGACTACATAAAGGGCCAAACCGTGAGAAATTTATCAAGGAATGTTCACAAGTAACACTAAATGTACATCTTTCTTCGTTGATTTATCAAGGGGGCAAAGTAACACTGAAAAAGTGTATCGAGTTTCCTGAACTTTTCATTTTTTATAATCTACTCTTTCGTAGTTAAACTCTTATCCTCAACAGCATGATAAAGTTTTTTATCAAAAAAGGTTTTTTTTCTATATCTTTCCTAATCTCAGGCAAAGTATAATATATATACATTTTTTCATTATTTTTTTTTTAAATCTTTACATTTGTGACCATGAAAGATAAAGTCCATCAAAATTTTGTATTCAAAAAACTCCTGGCATTACGTAAGAATCCTGATTCCTTCCACTACGACGACGTCTGACAGTCTTAACGGGATCGAACTCGCAGTGTGGCGAGCGAGCACGAAAGTCGACTAGCAAGTGGTTAGGACTCCCTCTATACCCAGTATATTGCTTGCATCAATAGGAATTACGAAAATAATAATTATTTCGGCAGACTGAGTGTTAGGGGTTGCTGCATATCCCCTGACACAACAGACTAATACAGTTTCATCAAAGTCAAAATAGGGTGAAATAGCCACTTGGCCGCCATTTATGACGATATAAATGCCCGCTCACCAATCTGGGGGAAGGATAAACAGGAAAAAGGTTACGTGGAGGACAGTTCGATTCCCGTGCAAACACACTTAGCTCAGAAACTCCTATTGCAAAGGTAAACTACCTGACACTATAGAAACTTTAAGAATGCGAGGAGACAAATTCTCCTTCGTTAGATATTTAAATTTCTTCATACTTTTTTCATGTCTTTCATTTAAAATCGTTTGCCCACTAGGAATGCATTTGTTAAATTTGATAAGTGTTCTTACAAAAATAAATTTCTTTCGTGGAAGTTGACATATCAAGTTGGGCAGCATATTTGATAGGTTACCTGATTTATTTTCATTATTTATATTATTTAATTATTATGAATTATTGTTCTGTGCAAGTCTTTGTGGTTCCCCCAAAACCTTTCAACTAAAAAAAAAAGAAAAGAGATAAAAATACATAAAACGGGACCATAAGTTTTTTTACGTTGCCTGAGATCTACGTCATATCACGAAACACAAATAAATAACCAAGGATAAAGGAATTACAAGCTGGTCAGTGCAAATTTGTTAGTAGTAGTCGGGTTGTGGAAAACTTGTCAGGATTTTCACCGTAAACAAATGAAATGAAAAAAAAAATTGTCAACACAAAAACAACTTGTTTAATTATTCTGAAAACTCAAAATTATAAATAATACCTCCATAAACGTTGCACTAATGCCAAAATAAGTCAGTTCCACTGTCACATGCACGTGTGTATTAACTCAGAATAATAAGAGACATTTACGATAGGTGTATTCTCTGTCACTACTTGTAACAATTAAATAATAATTATTATTATAATAATAATATGAATATACGCAGTGTTAATCACATACTTTGTCAGGTGATTAAACGAAAAAAAAAACTACACGAACAAAAAAAAATTATTTAAGTACCATAAAATTTTATATTTAATATTATAAATAAAGAAATTAATTTTATTTATTCACGCCTGAACAAAAACCCAGAAATCTCGCCGCAGTTACCAAATGAAAATAAGTATTTTTATCTTCAGTGGGACGTCTCCGTGCCCCCACCTACAGCCACGGCAATATTTATTTATGACTAGTAGCGTATAACAGAACAAAAAAATGATCAAGATTTTGAGGATTCCATTTTGGGTCTTAGCAAACTCGCATGACCACATGACTTGCACTCTTGTTGACTAGCTCTGTGTTTGGCTCAGTATGATCCAAATTATAATCGATGTACTGCTGATACATTTACCACAGTACAAATGGAAAGATATAACTCCTCTGAAGGCTGCATTTGTCTCGTAATTATTGGTGCGGGATTGCAAGGGGGGGGGGGAGGAGGATACGAACATGACTGTACTACCTACAGTCTTTAGATGCGGAGCGCGGGGTAGATATCTTCACATTTCCCAGCAATAAGCTGTTTTCTCAGGACTATTAAAAATCCTGATAAGATACAGACAAATACAGCCTCAGTTGACTAGCATGGTCACATTTTATAACCGCACTGCCAATATGGCGGCGGCCCATAACAGTTTCTTCGTCAACATTTATGTAGCTTTACTCTTGTTGGTTTTGAAAGAAACCTGCAAAACGCGGTTGCCCAGGGTATAACCATTCAAAGATTGGATTGCAACGACGGCCTCGTCATAATTGGTCATCGTAACAAAGCCAAACCCTTTACACTTGTTGGTCTGCAGGTCTCGAATAACCTTCACACTCTGAACTGCACCGAAGGGCCCGAAAAGCTGCCACAAGACGTTCTCTTCTGTCTCTGGGGCAAGGTTGTATACAAAGATGCACCAACCAGAACCATTCATGGTATTCCCTGGGATCATCGAGTTGGCCAGCAGATCACCAGCCAATGGTGAATACCTACAACGCCAAACCGTTCAAATTGAACGAAAAAGTTTACCTTACACACTAAACACGACGGGACAGGCATTGGGAAGGATTAGGGACGACCACGACAAGCTTCTATGGTTCACTATTCTCCACTGTAAAGTTTATCCCACTATACGCCATATAGACGCTTGGGGGGAGAGCCCGTATAGCTTACTCATTCTTAACCTCGGCACTAGATGGGGGTAAGTGGTCAGCATCACGCCCCGGCCGGCTTTACCCCCGGGAAAGGACCCCGGTACCCATTGTAGAGGAGGCTGGGTGGGCCCCAGAGCCGGTCTGGACGCAGAGGCTAGAGGAAAAAAATCATCTGCCCCCGTCGGGGATCGAACCCCGGTCGTCCAGTCCGTAGCTAGTCACTATACTGACTGAGCTATCCCGGCTCATATTCTCCACTGTAAACCACCGAAATACATAAAGCTCTCCTCTCCAAAGATGGCCTGTCGACTGTTTGACGTACGAAATTTCTTATGCTGTTTACTGATACCCGGACTGATACTTGCAAAACAGACATGGATATTACGTAAAATGTTGCCTGTTATGCTATTTACGTCAATGACACAGAATTCAATCCAAGATTTAACGATAACAGATGATAAAATACTTCATAAACGTAATAAATACGTAATATGATCTATTGATATCTGAGGTTAAGATGAAGAGAATCGAAGTCGAAGAGCTTAATCGATAACAAAGCGGAGAACTATCGAACATCTGACCATAATATCGAACATTTCGCTAGTTGTTTGCCTTTAGTAGTGAATCCAATAACATGAGTGCTGTAAAAATTTGATAATAAACAAGGTTAATTAATTAAACTCGGAATGTGGTGTGATTTCGAATGAATGCAGAGAGAGAGAGAGAGAATATATTAAACGCAGAAGTAAACACTTGTTAAAATGACTCGTCTTTGGTGCAAGGAACGCGCGAATCGATTAAACTTCGATTGCGTACCAAATCGATATACCAGCAAAGGGCCACGGAGAATCTTTACACAAAGTCGAAGTAAAATTGTCGATAACAGACAGCAACACACGTCAAAATTTTACAGAATATTGAGACATAAATCCACGGTTAAGAACAATTGTATTAAATATGAATATTACGATAGATGGAAATCGGCGATCTGATGATAGAATGCATGCTGACTTGCTTACAACGTGGTTAAGATAAAAACACGTAAACCATGATTTCAAATCATATTATCTTTAAAATATCCCGTTGAATAACAAATTCTTATGTCAGGTCGGTGGAATGGTTAAGATTCGGGGTAGATTTTTCTATAATCTAGTATCACGAAACCTAACCTCAAAATCTTCATTCGTCATTTCATGATCGTATTTTGTATACGCATTAACTCTTGAGAGTTAAAATGAGTAGGATACTAAGAATGTTGAGTGACTGTGGCTACCTGGCGACCAATAACAGGCTATGGGACAAAACTTAACATACAGAACAAAACATGGACGCCATGCTCGAGTCACACACACAACCGCATAAACAAAACACCAAACAAAATAAATATTGTAATATGATTGTATAAACACGATAATACTGACCTCTGTAAGCCTTTGTTTATGGCTAGCATGGTCTTGCCAGTGCTAAAACAAACATAAGAAACAAACATAAGAAAATTAAACAGCAAGTTTATTAAATGTGAAGCTGAGAAGATAAGTCTAAATGAAATAGGAAATCATTTAGATATGATTCATGAACGAGAAAAACCTGTAAACGTAACTACGGACATTGGGTTCAATTCGAATAGATAAAAATTATGAATACAGAATTTTTTTTTTGAAATCTTCTAGAATACAGGAAAAAGTACAAATGCCAAAGTTTAGCAGCCATACTAAAAAAAAAAAATTTAACTCACAAACAGGCAAGATGTCTAAACTTTAAAATAAATTTATTTCTGTTTCATGACGTGTCAGCTAAATTATTCCATTCATGTATATTACAAAATTCTTGCAATTTTTTTTTTAAAAAAAACAACACAAATTCACTAACTTTAAAAACTATTCTTAACGTTAAATTATCTGTACACCACAGTCTTAATTCCCCAGTTCGAACTAAAATAATAATCGTGAAATAAAACAGCCGAATTAAAGATTCAGATACAGGAATCTACAAAGGCTGAGAAAGGCTATTTTCCAAACGTTCATTGGTTCGAAGCCAGTCTCCTGGATAGAAATCTACATAAAACAAACCAAGTTAAAGCAGGTTTTATTACAACATGCTATGAAAGTAAAAAAAGCAGATCTTAAGGTAAAGTCGGGATAGAATCGCAAACAATAAATTTAACAACAGGTAACAGGGCCACGGAATTTACCTTGGCCAGCGTTTGACTTCATAAGATAAGAGTCCATCGTGTCCAAGTTAACTTGGACCCCACCTCATATTTTATATGAGTAACCCTCGGTAAATCCTACTCATGCAAATTACATCAAATTAACTGAAAGAAACATGAGTCTTATTATTATTATTGTATACTTTTGAGCTAGCGTAACGGAACGCAACGGAACGCAATGTAACGTAACGTAACGTAACGTAGCGTAGCGTAGCGCATCACAGCTGTTACTTACCAATCTCTTGCGTCAGGCCACAGCGGCAGTCCATACGGGCTGCTTGATGGAAAGTCACCCCAATGTAGCAAATACAAATCACGTGATATGTGCGACAGGAAAGTAGCAATAGGCCTATTACTGATTCGCAAATTCCGTGGGGAAAAAAAAAATATTTCCACAATTCTCCTTAAATTTTACAAATGTTAACAAGTAGCAGCTCTCTTTAAAGGATAGGATGATTCGCAAGGAATATTAATTTCTTCTGAAGTCTATACTAATACACTGCTATCTACAGGTCTATTACAAAAAGCTATTTATTTATTTTTTTTTTGCGAGAGAACAAAGCTCTTGTAGATGGTCATACCTTTCCACGCAAACGGGACACTTGAAAAAAGATTCGAAGCACACAAATCACATAAACTACCAACGAAACACAAAATTTTATCAATAAAAAAAAATCAAAATACGTATGAAAATAAAAATTTAAAAAAAAAATAAACAAACGGAAACATCTGAAAGGAAACGAACGATAACAAAGTGGAGTAAAGCTAGTGGTAAATAAACCATTAGAAACAAAATTCAACTGGGAAAGTCAAGTACCTGGATAGTGGTGACAGTGGAATATACCTGAAGCGCCCCGTCGGGTGGTGTATCGGTCCGCCGAAACGTCTTGCCTGCGGTGCCAGATACGCCGCCAGAGGTGGGATCGCCTTATTGTTGTTACTAGGATTATTTGCGAACTTTACGGTGATCGGTTCTGTGGATCCCTTCGGAATGGTTCCATTCAGCTCCTGGATAGCTCGTTCCGCTTCAATGCGCTGGTCAAACCTTATGAATCCAACTCCTTTCGACAGACCTGTAAGATCGACGAACATTAAACGACTTTCTCGTCGACTGGGACGCCACCTGTCGTGAACCTTCAACTGTCTTTCGTCAGTCTCCTTCTATAGAGCGTGTGCCTGCTTCGCGACAAACATTCTTCTGCCATGATTATGAACACCAGTGGGAGGGTGTGGCCCTGCGTTCATTGGTCAAATCAAGTCACGTGGCACACACGCTCCAAATAGCAGGCGCTAGGTAGACTACCAAGCTAGACACTACATAAAACAGTTCTTTGGCCATGAGATGTTGGCAGTGGTATATCAGAGGGACATACCAGGTTCTTCAACGAAGTAAACCTTCACTTTACCGTCGTCTGCAGCCCACCCATCACCAATAACCATGGCGTCAAGACCAAAAATCACGTATCTTAAATATGGTCATTACGTCAGATGATTTTACTATATCAAATATTAACTTAAAAAAAAGGTAACCGAGGGGTTTTAAAAAACAGTCTTCCTAGTAAAATAAATAATATAATTACCCTCCAAAACCCCACAGCAACGATACATGAAATCGAAGTCCACCTCCCCAGAAAATTAAGCGAGGCCTGGTGTTCATATGCAGCCATGGCAGAAATGACCGATATGCCTTTTCAATTCACGACAAGTGACGTATATTGAGGATAAAAGTAACCCATTAATAAATTATACTTTGCAAATTGAATTTATTAATTATCTAATTACCACGTAATTGCACACTACACGTGGCGGTCTATACGTAAAAAAAAATTTTTTTTTTACGTAGTCCATCGTAAAGAAAAACTAAGCATTTGAACGCATTGACGTGTCTTGAAACGCAAAACACTGCAAATACAAAAACACCCACCACACACACACACGATTAAGAGACAAAAGAGTGCAGACAAAGGGTGTGAGCAAAGCAAGGATTATGTGTTCGCGTGCTATTGCCCAACCCAAAGTTTATTATCCCATACTAATTCTGGTTTTAGTGTGTTTTTTTTTAAAAAAACATTAGATTCAACTACTACTATAACAAAACTCAAGTTAACCAAACCATTTCGTGCACTAGAATCCGCTATATTTTAATTTTAAGCTGCGTGTGATTTAGAAACTGCTTATGGTAACTGGGTTTAAAATAGAGCAGTGGTCTCCAATTTAATTTTTTTTTTCATGGATTATAATCGAAAAAGAAAAAGTGAAATCAGGCAATCGAACAGAGGGCTGTTAGTAGCGAACAAGGAACCATAGCTCTAATCCCTGCTTCCAAAAATAACACAAGGAATTGCACCTTGATGAAGACCACTATTCTAAAGGGGAAAGCAGATCCTAATGTTAAAAACAAACAGATTCACTCACGTACAGGGCAAACTTTCTCCAGCTCCACTGACATATTGGCGGACTACGGAAGAAAAAACCAGAGAAAAAAAATATACAACATATTTCTGAACTGATATAAAGAGACTAACACTCATGACACAAATCCACATTTATTCTTTTAAATCAAAACAAATTTTGTAAAAAAAAAAAACTCTAAAAATTCCCTTCCAACTCTGTAAATTTTAATGTGAATGGGTTCTTTATTTTCGCTTTTAACTGCTAATATCGTACGACAGCCACGTAAAACCATCACAAGGCCAAATATCAATCCAACATAACTTTTAAAAACAGAACATTCTTTATTCAGCTCAAAAGAATTGACAACCACATCAAAACATTAATATAAAATTGGCTTAATATGTGCTACACCAGACCTCGACATCAATTCCACTGTGATACCTTACCCCGTCTCACGTAAGCATTCTATCAAAACAAAGAAACATAACGTATAAGGTTGAGAGAGAGAGAGAGAGAATTATTAAGGTGCAATAGTAAATCGTTGAACATTCTGCGAGCCCATCGTTACAAAAAAAAATTGTACAATAAAATTATTAACAAGTTGTCTGTTACTTTTCATGGCACACAAATTTTGGATCCTGCTTACCGATGCGAAAACGTAGAAAAATAGTTTCATGTTACTCTCACCAGAGGGGGTTAGTAACTGTGACAGCAAGATCTTTACACACGTAACTCTCAAAGTCTGAAAACTTCCAGCTGGACTTTTTAGTTTATACTTCAGTAACCAGATGATTCACCAGACACAATGAAGCACACTTAAATCTGCACGCTATACGCGTCTGAATTGTTCAATACTGACGCAAGACCTTAGCGTCTCTAAAAACGTATAAATGTATTCATAAATTTTTCTTCATCCTAACCTAACATAAATTTTGCTAGACACGCGAAATTCCTCTGATGAGGGACGTATGAGGCCTTATGAATGTCTAATGATACATAAATGCATTTAGTAAACATTACGTATTATTAAACATTATAAATACTTATCAGATCTAAAACTTCTTGACGATGGTGAAGAGTCAATTGAATAAAAATTTTCTTGGATATTATCCATCGTCTAGTAAATACAAAACGTAATATTTACTAGACGATGGATAATATCCAAGAAAATTTTTATTCAATTATAAATACTGTCTAAATATGTGAAATTAACGATTCATTTCTGATTTTAAGAAGTACGAAGTTCCAAATATTCTGAAAAATTAAACGCTAGAAACACCTTACGTCATCAAATACGTAACTTCGAAGACGTAAAGCTACAAATGTAAGTACTGATATCGCCTGTAGATCATATGAGGATTAACGTAGAAAGAAAATAGATCTATTGTCGAAGAGAAGATCCACATAAATATTACGTACGATGTCACAATCAGACGCAAGGGATTAAAATGTTATGTTATGTTATGTAATGTTACACAGGATATCGAAATAGAATCGATTCCTAGTATAACGACGAAAACGATATTTGATATCGATATTACATTATTTAAAAGGACGAGGATTCAAATACAAACTTGTAATCCAGAGAGAGAGAGTTCTAGTTGACAAATCTGGTGGCGTATTAAAAGTTATAACGAATATTTTAGTAAAAATATATTACCTGTAATTTTAAGAGAAAAATATCCCACCTGTAAAACTAAACACTGAATTATCTTGTGTAAGATTATTTTACGAATTAGTTTAACTGAGTTGTTAGCATACATTACTCTGTCTTATTTCAAAAACAAATTATTTACTTTAAATTAACAAAATCTTTAAAATTGTATACAGATCCATTTATGATGAAAACATTTTGAAAAAAAGTTTTACTTCGATCAAAGTTACGGAATGTAACGTCACATATTGCGTAATTAAAGAAACAGGCTGGCTACCTAACGTTATTATAAATTAAAACAGCACGAAGTAAGTATAGGTTTATTAATACTCATATAAATTTAGCGATAAATATAGGTTTTTTTCTATTAAATTCATGTTAAATATGACATACTATAAAAACGATTTCGTTTAGAAATTTCTCCACGATTTTTACGAATACTTTACGTATAGGGCTAGAAATACCAACTTCCAGGAGTAAATAAACGATGATATACATATTTTCAGCTACGCAGAAGGAATAAGATGGTACTCATGCGACACAGAAGGCCAGAGTTTGAATTCCGTAACATCACACAATCTTTAATGACAAATCAATAAATCAACGTAAATAAAATTTTAAATTCATAATAAAATTATGAACGTTATAACAGAGAAACAATGTTATTTCAATAATTAAGCCAATATTCGAGTAGATTTATTAATTTAACCTCCAATAAATAATTTCTTACAGCGTCAATTTAATTTGCCCCTAGTACTGAATATTGTACACAAAAATTTATTCTTAGAATTCCATCATTTTTAACTTTTATAAAAGTGAAGTATTAATAAGAATGTTATGTCTGCTCATAACATACCTTCTGTGTATGTTGCATGCCATGATTTTCCTCTGTCGCGAAAAAATTAAGCCAGCGAGCTTCGTGATATATTATTTCTGTGCTGTGCGTATGTCTTGATGTTATTTGGATATACAGGCGTCTTACAGAGATTTATTAAAACTTTGGTGACGAATTAATCTCGCAGATGCGTTATGCAAAAAAAGTCTGCGATTTACTAAATTAAATATTACCTAAGCTCAAGAATTCAAATATCCACCGCCATTAGAGACAAAGTAAAATAAATTAATTACTAATAATATTTTTATATAAGAGGACAGGATCCTATTTAAATCTGTAATTAAATTACGTTTAAATACGTACAGACCAACAATACATATGTATACATCTCGGCTAAGTACAATCCCATGAGAACAAATATCTGTATCATGAAGTGTAACAGACTAAAATCATGAAAAGTTTTTCAAAATATAAGTTTTGAAATTAATTAACGATGTTTTAGTCTTCTTAACGACATCTCGTCTGGACTATTCAATTAACACAAAGGCTATAAATCTTACCCTCCAAAACCTTCGTATCTAAATACAAGTCCACACGGTGTCACAACCAAGAAGACGAACATCGACATTTTCACTTCTGTGAGAACTTCCAAATTCTATTCTTTCAGTTACAAGTTTTCAAATAATGTAAAAAAGACCAACATGGCTAAGTTAAACAAACTACAAAAGTCGTGGAAGAAAAACACAAATATTTTCGTGGGAAACACAAAAACATACCAAATATATTTACTTTTCTTGTTATTGACAGCTTTTCACAACGACATCTCATATTTAAAGCTATATTTCAATAAAAAATACCATATCGTCTTCGTTGGTGGCGTACTAAAATGATAACTTCGTTTTCGAAGTTATGTAATTAACATATTCATTGTTCTTAAAAAAATAGTAACGACACACAATGCATGTAAAAAAGATTCAACGATAGGTTTAAAAATTTATATCAGAACAGGGAGAGGTTAGAGAGGTATTTTTTTTAAATGCATAATTTTATCGTAAGTTAATTTAATGCAAGTAAGAAGACGTGACATATACGCTTACCAGTAATGTTGTCACAGAGAATCCGTGAAGTGATAATACGTCCATAAGGGCTGAACAAATTCTCAAGATCCTGTTGAGTCATGTTCTTTGGCAGCCCACTGACGTATAAATTGGCACCCTTTATAGCCTCACTGCTAGGCCGAGCGTACGACACCTAAAACACAACAAGTAACTTGCCTTCTTCATACTCATCCAATCCACCTGACGAGATAACTTACAATGCAAAAACTGTTAACTGAGATTATTTAAAATTCTAGATCGTTGTCTGAATTGAAATAATTATTATATTTTCGACGTCCTTCAAATTAGCTGTTTTAAGACAGATTACAATTTAATTATTCATTTTAATATAAACTTTTATTTTTAGTGTTCTGTCTGGCGACAGGTCCATATGAACAGGATCCTTCCATCCTTTTCTCGGACTGGGACCTGTTCATATACGTTCTTGGCAGATGATCCAGAAGTGGTTTGCCATTGCCTTCTTCTGTGTGTGAATGGAGTAATTGTTGGGATGCCACGGAGGAAAACTCCGTGTTGCCTAGACCACGGCCTTGCCCAACACAAGTTATAAATTCGGGCACCGCCGGGAATCGAACCCGAGACCCCCAGGATTACAACTACGGGTGATTAATCAATAAATAATATTCATAATAAGATGACTGTTCAAATTATACACTTTGCGTACAAAAAAAAATAATAAAATATTCGCCATTGACAATGTTCCTGTAATGCTGAAACATCTATGGTGATGTAAACACAAGCTATAAGATTTTAAAACTTTGACTTGTGCGCGGTTTCAAAGATTTCAAGATACTGCAAATAGACTCTGTTAACTATCCGATGCCGTTCTAAATCCGTAACAACATTTGACTACATAAAATCTTTGCAACATTTCTAGTGTACAAACATCTAAAAGAATATCTTGTCATTAATCAGGTCGACGAAACTAAAATCGATTACTCCATACTTATCGAAATTTTTTTGATTACGTCCGAGTGACAACGCATGACCCACCGTGACGTATCTCTGAGCGTTACACTATTCTGCATATACACACACACACATTGAAGTTTCAAAAATATCTAACAGAAGCCAGCAGCCAGGCTGTACCGTTGGATAAACGATATAAACAATTCTAAACTAATCAGACGTGAGTAAAAAACATGCGAGATTTTACAGATACATCTAGGCAGCCACGCGCAGTGATACGTTTCAAGAACGGATCCAAACGTATCTGAAAACACAAGAGTTCACTGCAATATTTTGGAATGTGAATGTCACGTTAATGTTACGCAGCGAAGAATCTTTGCCTTAAGACTTCCAGTTCCAACAGCTTCGACTATAAAAATGGCCGTGTAGTCTGGTAGAATCGAACTGATTTCTCTGTAAATTTGGTGGAATTGTTCTTAGATTCCATCATTTATCAAAGCCCTAATTATCGATTGGAGCTCGCGGTAAACAATGCTGACCGGGAATGTAATTAAATCAGTCACATAAAACATTTCTTCTATATGCTTTACACTAGATCAGGGGTGGCCAACCCGCGGCCCGCCTTGAACATTTTTCCGGCCCGCGAGATTCAGATTATATTTAATTTTTAGTGCTATATATTTCTTTACAATGTACGCTTAGTATCATTATTATTATATTATCTATGTTTACATGTAAGAATAATAGTAAACACAATAATAATAACTCATTATGTTTCAATTTTTCACTCCAAAAAAAATGTCTATAGTGTATCTAAATCTAATATGAGGATATATAATTTTATATGTGGCCCGCAGAGTTATGATGCATTTCCAAAGTGGCCCGAAAGATCATTTGGGTTGGCCACCCCTGCACTAGATATTCAGCTCAGTGTTAACAAAGAGATTGTACTTTTCCACTGACTTCAAAATTCAAGTGACATTTGGGTGCGGTATATCGCCTGATTAAAACCAAAATGAATCAATATGGAGAAAGCCACCTACAAAGGATCTGAAATGATCCTAACTAACACTTATTTTACTTTAATTGTAAGTCATTTGTCGGATACACTAACGAAACTTGAAGACAGCTCCTAAAAAACATATGCGCTCATAAGTTCCTGGAAATTAAATATCTGTGTAATTGATTCAATGAGCTCTAATCCATTAGAGAACCTTTAATATGCTCTAAATTCTGCTATTACACAATCTTCCAACGTACTCCTTTGTCCAAGACAAAAGCGAAATTTAAAACAAACGCTAGTTCCACAGGAATCATTTAAATGCGTGCATGAAAATGCTACAAGAATTAATATAATCGTTTATAATATGTATCGTGCACTTATTAAAATATTCACGGGTACTATGTAACTCGTTAAACACGGTTCATCACCTGGTATAAATTTAAATTCATCACACTCTGTAAAAAAAATCTAATCAAAACAATATACAATACACCTTCAAATTTACAAAGAAACATTCTATTAACAATAAATTATTTTGAAACGATGAATATATATGTCACTCGTCTTCTGATGGATATGTATTGAAAAATTTGTTAAATGTGTGTTCTATCGACTGGTGTAGAAAGCCTCTAAATTTTTAACGAAAGTAATTAATATTGGCGTTGTCAGGGTAAATTAATATAAGCCCATAAATTACAAGACAAATATCATTGCTATTTTACAGCACTTATTCATTTGACATGTAATTTATCAAAACTATCACTTCACACTTGTCTAATAAGGAAGGAAATACTTCGGAAATCCTATTACAATTATTGTCGGTTATGACAATATAAACTCACATATTGAACCTACATTTTAAAATAAGTTACATGGTTTAATTACGAAATTATTAATATTATTTAAATTATAATTATTTCAAATTTGAATTCTGGTACTTTATCGATAGAAAAATATTTTTGTTATAATTTTATAATTGTCTCCAAGGAAATATATTTTTGTTTGATAAAATCTTAAGTTTATCATCGTCTTCAGCCAGATACACATAATAGGACAAAATGGGGCACGTCAAGAACGTAGGCATCAGTGAGGATCAAGTGGTCTCACTGAAGCGCCACTATCGGTAACAAGGAGTACTTCTTTCCCACGTACCACAGTTTTGCAGTGGTACTTGGAGCAGACATGTTGATTCTGGAGTGTTATTGTGAAGTGTCAGCCAGGGCTTCTTACTGTTTGGAAACGGGTCATGGAAAAACATTTATTCAGAACTTATTTTTATAAAAAAAATAAGAAATTTACAACCTTACTCGAAAACCGCATTGTTTAAACGGTGAAGTCGGAAAATAAAAATATATAATTTAATTTTATCCAGAACTTAAGATATGAAAATTATATTCAACAAATGACGTATTCCAGATATTTTATTATTCTGACACGAAAGCATATTAACTTGAAACTTCAGCCTGGTATAGACTCTCTGGTGCATCGTTATTCATAGGTAAATTGCAGCTGTCACAAAGCCCGTTTAGCGAATCAGTACCAAACAACCAAACTACGTTACTACGGTAACCAGTTGACGCAGCTGATTGCCCGAGAAGATTTTATTCATTGTAATCGCCGCGAAAGTCTCAAATCCTATATCAGTAGCAAATATTAAATAAATATTTAATTCCATTGCTACGAACAAACCGGCTAGCTATTTTATTGGTTATTTTTTTTAGGCTAAGACAGACTTCGTTGTGTGCTGATATTTGTAGAAACTGACAATACATTACAATAAATATAAAATAAACACCTGCAAAATAAATTATTAAGGTAGATGTAGGATAAGGGATATTTCGCCCTATCTTGAAGTTTACCGACATGCTAGCTACAGAAATAACCTCAGATCTCGCTTTGGATTCAGTATCTATCCATATGATCTCATCGTAAGACTGACATAGTCCTGGTAACTAGATACGTTCTTGTTATGCATTTTATCGTAATATTACGAACGTAATATTTATTGATTTTATTTAAATTTTTTTTAATTTCCTTTTTTTTACAGAATCTAATCATCTATAATATTAGTTTTTGACATACGTTTAAGCGGTTTTGGACATTACCAAATCTGCGTTTGTAACATGTCATTGACAGAGTGACAGTTGAACTTCACGTAATAATAAATCCTAACTATAATCTGGTAGCGCTCAAAATGTCGCATTTCTACCACCGCACTCCTAACCCCATCCCGTTCATTTAACGGTGACTGCTCGCATCGGCTCGAAATCTATAAACGATGTTTCCAATCCATGTTTTGTACAGATATCATATCATATCATATGTTTATTTGTAATTTATCGCCCTAAAATATTATTACTAAGCCCATGAAAATTACGACAAATCATTGTTTTATTAAATTAAAATTATTACATATGTAGAAAAAAAGCCTTTTAAAGTTTGACTGTGAATATTTCTTTCCATCTTAATCCCTCATACGTTTTCTTACGTTCTTTATTTCATAATTTTATCTCGTTCCTTAATTAATTCATTCGTATTATATCTACATGTATTTCCCACTCTCCACAACTCAATTTTCGTATCCTTTACATTTCCCGCGTCATAACACTTTGCCTGCAGTCTTAATAAACTACACTATCGATTGTCTGGGTTCAATAGCCCCTACACAGTGTTCGCCAATCGCTTCGAATTCGTTAGACAAGATTTAAATAATCATCAATGCATCACGTAAAGATGACGGCTCTGTATAACCAACTGACTATTTTGAACCCAGAATTTCCACACAAATCAACGTTGCAACGCCAGAAAAGTCTTACATTCGTGATCGAACCAGATGTAACGTGTAACGCGAACCATTTTGAAGGCTTAAAAAAAAAGTATGTTTATGTTTGCGGTGATTTACGCATGGTGATATTGTCTCAAAGGTATTATGGTCGAAACGGCTATAATGCATAGTGAGACATTTACGTCTGCACGTTCCAGAAGAATTCCATCTGGAGGATTACTTATGGTTTTTTCCACTCGAAACAGCGTCACTAGTCCAACCACTTCATTTTGCTACACGTAAGTTATTTCCTCTGTACGCCCGTCACCAAATTTGTTTACAACAAATTGGTGATCGCTTACAGCAAAAGAACATTTTCCCCAAGTGAGTAAATAAACAATCCGGAACTCATCAACTGAAGAGCATAGCTAAGTAATAATTGTATGTGTTGTCTGAT